TTCAGAGTATGAATCAAGGCGCGTTATGGACTAGGAAGAATTTTCCTTCGGTACGAATACCTTCGCATTCCGCTATCATTCTTCAAGATTTTCCCCGAAACGCGTCGCCGACTAGATGTTGGAGGGAGGCCCTCACCGTACGGCATGCCCTGCAGGGGCTCATCAGAAACGACTCTAGTCAGTCTGGTCAAATGCAGGGGATTTCGAGTGAGCTCCAGATCAAGCTGCAGAGGCATCACAACTCACCCATCACCTGTCGACATCACTAAACTGCAGTAATGAATGTGATGAAGGTTAATCATTATCGGAATGCCTTTACGTTATCAGATGGGAAAACGCTCACAAATAACTTGGCAGGATTACAAGCATACATGTTACGATTTGAGGGCCTTACATCTGCTTGTTACAAGGTAAATGACAAACATTGTTGCTGTTTGTTTGCTATCACAGATAACAGCGTCACATTTACTATCAGAGCAAACAGCATTCACACCACTGCGCATCATAGTGGTGGAATCCAATGGTGGATTTTTAGGATCGCATTCGGTCTCTGAAAAGAAGGGTCGTACTAGAGAAAGGGATTCCACACTTCGATGATAGCTCTGATTTGTATGGCTACTTTTTTAACGCTCTGTGACAACGTGGTTATTACGAGAATTTCTTGACTGGTAAAAGCTGTTACCAGCGACAAGCCAAGGAAGACATGGTCCGAATCTTGTAACCGTTCGGATTACTTCTTGTAACCGTTCGCCACTGCATCTTCAACGGTTACCAACCTAGCAGCGATGTTTTTCTGGCCCTCACTCATAGAGCTCTATTGCAAGCGAATTCCGCGCTCTAATCTGCTTTGATGATATTCAGCCAAAAAGTCGTACGCAGTCAATTAGAGTGCCGCAGGTAAAGTGTTGCAGTGACTTCTGCTTTTTTTACCCAGTTGTTTTCTTGATGTACTTATTTCTCTGGCAAATTGAAATATGACTTGGACGAGTTCTGACCTCCAACACGAGGCTGCTGTCGTGTTCGACGCAGCCGTAACTGTGTTCTCCGCCAATCGGTGTATTTGTCATTTGTCATGTCATTTACCTTTTTTGTTTTTTGTTATTTTATGGCTATCTATTTAGTCACAGTCTCTCCACCGCATGTTTTGCTTGATTCGGTGACGAGCAACGGAACAGTCGCACCTAAATATGGAGCAGGTGCAGTTTAATTACATACTTACGCAAAAAAACTAGTATACTCCCAAAGCAAGCCTACTAGGAGTGCGTTCATACATCGCGACAACTCAAGAGACTTAGCTTTAAGTTAACGATTAGGAAAACATATGCATTGATCCGGAGTCTGGTAGCGCTACGAGCGTCAGAGTTTTGTGGGTCCACCAGCGTTCTGAGCGTCTGTCAGCGTTTTTAACGGTAAAAGATATCTGTACGTTTATAGACGTTCTAAGCGCTAAGGGCTCAAAACACTGGATCAACATACTTTCCTAGTCGCTCAAAACGCAGGCGCAAAGTATGAACATACTCTTATTCGGAGAAGAGCAGATTTGTTTTGCTCGGTTTTTAACTTTGTTGTTAACCAGCAAAGTTAAATTCACAATAATTAGTAATTAGTAGTAATAATTCAGTGGGACACTAATTCCTTTGATTTTTCTTCCGAGGTAGATTCAACCAGGGACAAGTGATGGGTCGAAGGGGCGGCACTAATGTAGACAGGGTGTGGACCTGTACTTTCTCACAGAAAAGCTTACTCAGAGCGCAGGCGAGAGTCCCCTGAAGAGTCCTGTAGAGAATACATGGTCTTTTCCACCTGAACTGGGGAGGAGACATGG